CATATACGTGGTCATTTAGGCTTGTGGAAGTCTGACAGAATGATGCAAATTCTCTTTAAGGAGGGGGCTGTCTTACATTAAATTCTTCCAGAAACATAAACAGAAGTTTTACATTGAGAAAAAAATCAGGTTTGAGTCAAAGATGAATAGAGTAAAAACTGTGTCTTCTGGACTATGCTAAAACAGTGACTGAGAGTTCAGTATAGGTCAAATTCTGTTCTCATGCATGGGTGCCTGATTTCTACTGATGGTAATTTTGTGCATTTACTGAAGGAAAGTCAACTTACTGATACTGAGGATGCTAGTTTTCCCTCTCACTTAAATTAAATACCAGCATTAATTGAGAGAAAAATGGACCAATTTTATGTCCATTCAGAGTATATTCTAATTTATGAGTTCCAACTGGTGAGGCTATTACTTGTCCTTCAGAAGCTCTTCTCTATTCCATGAACAAATAAATACAAGTGTATTTACTTGTACGTAGTATTTCCTTTTCAGTGAAAACCTGAGAAATGAGGTGCACAAACAATAATGCTAAATTTGTTTCTTCTCAATTTTAAGAACAAATTTCACTTCAGAGGAACTAGGTATAAAAGAACACACATAATTCAAGCATCGACTTAGATGTTCTGATTTCGTGTAACAGATTGAAAGGCCAACCTACAGTATCAGCATTTGTTTCTTGCTGTCAAGAATCATCTTTTAACCAGTAAATTAATGGTGTAAATCTCAAAAGCCAGTTTGAAATTATCAAACTGGATTTTAACATATTTTTATTTTGGATCCAGAGAAGCAGACAAGACAATCAGCAAAATTGTTATTTCAAGAAGCTTTTACAGCAGCTCAGTTCCATTTTCTTTAACAGTAATAATCCTTATTTACCCCATTGTGAATGCTAGAATCAGGCCGTTTAAAAGCTTTTCTTTGTAATTAGGTAGTCACACATATGTAGCTAAAACCAAGATCATAATACTCTATGCTGAAACACATAATTGAAGCCAGGACTGGGTCATGTATTCAAAAGCCACCTTTTGTCTTTTATACAAGTATTTTTAGATTTTTTTAGTATGCAAATGTACAGATGTGCCTATATTGCTGCATTTTGCTGAATGAGTTATGTCAGATTAAACAAGTACTGCATCTTCATTAATTACAATACTTAGAAGAAAATTGTAAAGCATGCTGCCACACAGTTAATATATGGCTTTAAAAGTCATACTGATGGGAGGAACTGGCTAGGTTATCAAGATCCATATATTTCTATGAGGCAAGAAGACTATTGCAAGCCTTCAACTGACATGATAGTTTGCTTGCAAGTAATTGCCACAGATGGAAAAGTAACCACATTGGTCATCAGCTGACTTCCTTCAGACACCTAAGAGTGCAAACCCAAGGTACCTGAAACACAAATCTGGGAAGAGCTCACTTCTGCTTTGGCCCTTAATAACTTGCTTAATAATACAGGCTTTGGGATTTCTACCTGACATTATTTGTACCTATAAATGCTTACAAAAGTAATCTGAATTGACAGAATATGGAAGCTGCAGGAAAGAGCATAATTCAATGAAAGGCTTACTTAAGAGAGCGTGCTTTAGTTTTGGCTTTTGTACTTGTTTCTTTTAAAACATCAATAAACTTTTCAGATGTTTTGTTTCTTTTTTTTTTCTTGAGAAACAAGTAAACAGATTATTGCAGTCTCAATTTTATTAGTATAAATTCAGAATAGTTCTAGTGGCTTCATACAGGAATCAGATCAATTTCAAGCAAGCAATGGAATAGAATTCCATGAGTTTCAGTGGAAATTGCACGTAAGAAGAAGTGAAAATCAGATCAGGAAATGACCTTTGTCTATTTAAAGAAGGTGCTTCTAAAGAAAAGTTCTTTGAAAAGAAAGCTTCAGAAAAATACTGATCCCCATTCAATTTTATCCTTTTGTTTCTAAAATCCTCTAAGGTGTTTCTCTTGCTTCTCCCAGGGCCTATCTCCACCAATATGCTCCCACTCATCCAGTGTTTTCTGCACTGTTTGGTCTGTATTGACACATAAGATCTCTTACTGCTGACAGCTCATTCCTTGTCAACATTACTAGCTGAAAGTAGCCTCCCTATTTCTTTCCACCTCATTGACTCTCTAGCCCATTTCTAAACACATCTTTGCCTTCTCACTTTTCTACAGCTCTTAATTTTCTTTGTCCTTCTAATTTAATTTTTTAGCTCCATCGATTTACTGTTTACAGCTACTCTGTAGAGCACTCCAGGACACAGCTATGCAAAAATAAACAATATAATAAGTATAGGCATGACTTTCACCCTTGGAGGTTAAGCATTTTGAAGTCAGATGGAGCTGTCCCTGAATGATGGTCCTGGGCCCACACACAAAAATCTTCTTGCCTTTACTCAGTCTCCACAAGACATGGTTATTTTGCACTACACTGAAAGTTCCTTTTCTGTGAGCACTTTGCCACTTGTAAAATCAGCTGCTGAACACAAATACATACAGGGTATTAGCTGATTTTAGTAAATTACTTTTCTTCTTCACTATCATTTCATGCTGAGGTTTCTTTAATATGAATTTTTGAATTAACTTTTATTTTTAATTTAAATTAGATATTTGAACATAATATTGTTCCTAGGAAACGTCTCCGTATTAGAGTTTGATAACTTTTGGCTGGGAAAGAGTAGAATGTGTTAACTGGAGTTCCAAGGAACATATCATCAGGAATGTTAACAGCCAGCAAGCAAATCCCAGGGCATATACTAGATCTGGTCATAAAGAATGCCACTTCCCAACTGCCTTTGAAAACATGAAAATGTGCAAGTCACCAAAATGTATTTATAGACAGAATTATTCTGGAGTAACATGGGGAAAAGATTATGAAACCATATGCATCCTATTCTCTTTTATAATATGATTCCTTTAAGTCAAAGACGTTGAGAGTTTATGTAGGCATATTTGTTTCAGAAGATCTCTTTATGTCACTGGAAAGGTTGCCAACTGTTCTGTTATGCTGGGAAAGGAGAGACACTGTGGCACCTCTTCCAAATAAAGCATGTGCTTAATTGATCTGGGCTACTGCATGTGTTCTGATCTTCCCAGGGTGCGAGACAGCTTAAAGCATGCACACGTCTGAAGATCTGCTCATTTGTGGAAGTTGCTAGCTGTTTAAAAGTCTTTTTTTTAATTTAGATTACCTTACAGTCAAATCATGTGACAATTTGGCAGGCTAGCAAATGTTTTTCCACATCCCTTACACACCTATAGCAAGAGAAACAGGAAAGGTGGCAAGGTAAGCAGTGAAGGTTTTCTTTCAGTGGCACAGCAGTTACAGTTTCACGGTTATTATCAGCTCCTTTTCCTGGAGGAGAAGGCTAAGTCTTTCACTTAAGCATTAAAGGCCTTATTTTAAACCAGCAAAAAGTAAATACCTAGTAAATATCTAACTCCTGCTTCACTATTTCCAAGGGATTTGAGCCTCAGAATGTAAGTGACACAAAATGGCACCATAAGGCGGTAGAACAGTTACTAAATACATGTTGTGGAAGGAAGGTTTCTTCTGTTTAGATGAAAAATATTAAAGTTTCCTTTTTCTAAATCAAATGGTATTATTAGTAACACAGCCAAGGGAAATAAGTGCTCTTTTTAAAAATTATTTTTCATGGGAACTTATATTAAACACAGCCTTACTTTGTTTCCAGTGAAGGAGGTTGTTTTGTCAGCTAAGAAGCACTTGTTCATGGTAGCAATAAACTCGGCCAACCCAGACTGCTTAACAGGAGACATCCAAAAATCAACTCCACGAAGGACAATAAGAGGAGCTAATTTACACTCTTTTCCCAAGCTAAGAAGAACAAGGAAGGAGATATAGCTGAGCCATAATTTCTTTTTTTGTACTGCTGCAGAGGTAGTTCAGCTATTAGCATATTGTAATGTTATGTTGTAATGTCTGTCTTCAGTTAGTGAATATCCTGCTGCCTCCCCATGTGGTACTGCTTTGCAGTACAGTTTAAGTAAAAGAAATATTGTCAAAACAATATAATAAGCAAGCTTGTTAGTTTAATCAGCATAATTTGAAAGTTTTCTTTAGTGCTTCTTAAGAGTTGGCCATTTAAATTAGAACTGTAAGTTAAAATTTTATTTAAAAAAGATCACACAAACAATGATGCATGGATTGGGTGTACTGCAGAGTCCACGTAAGGACAGGTGATGCTCTCTTTCTGCTCTTACCATAAATTGTGGTAATTTACCGCACAATTACCACACAAAATGTGGTAATTTATATGAAAAGCCTTATTATGCTTTGAAAGCACAGGAAAGAGATTAGCTACCAAGAAATTAAGTAATTTTTTTCTCTGAAGCCTGTAATTTGGGGATGTCCAGAAGTTTCTTTTTAGAAAGACTAAAAAAGGACAAGAAAAGATGTCTCAAAGCATCTTCTACATCTTTTGCTCTGTGGAAGCTTTAACTGTCAATGACAGTCTTTGCTTTGAAGCAAATTACAGTTGTATCAATCAAGTCAAACTTCAAAGTACCACAACCATTTTAGTGAATGTGGTTCATATATTAATTTTAATAGAGTGATTGAGCATTTTTTAAATAGAATAAAATATGAATGAAGGTGCAGGAATCACCTTAGATGCGTTCCTACTATTTCTCATTAATCCTCCTCTTCATCATTCTCCTGCTACAGTCAGACCATCAAAGGTCATACTGACCAAATGCACATGTTTCATGAGCAAACTGGAGAAAAACAAGAGTCAATCTGAACACTGTATGAATGTTTTTCAGGAAGAAAGACAACACTTTTTGTTACATTTACAGCTATTCCTCTATAAGGTGGGTTCCTTCATTTTTTAGTTGTTGTTTATGTGAACAAAAACACAATAAGGAGATAATATAAAAAGGAACACTAAGACATGTGAAAAGAGGATGATAATGATTGTAAACACATGTTGGGATAAGCCTGAGATTCTTATCTATCAGTTGCAACTGTAAATTGAATGTAAGAGAGATACAAGGAGAATTGTGTCTATTTTGCCAGGAAATTTTACTCAGACTCCATAAGGAATTCATGTGGGGTATTTGTTGCTGCTATTCTGACCGTCAGTTCAAATGGAGAAAAAAAGGTAAGTTTCTATTTAATTCTAGAATTTCCTTATCTGTAGAAAAAATGCCAGAAAGACAGATGTAAACGTAGCTGTTCAAATTCACTGCTTTTTTTCCTGGTTTCCTGGGAGGTAATTTATGCTTATGCAATGTCCACAGTGCTTACACCAATTTTTTTTTCTTCTTATATTTTACATATACACAGCACTCACTAAAGTTTTTTCCTATAGCCTTCCAGGTATTACTATTAAAAGCTGAATTATCATTGCTAATTCTTTAGGATTGACATGATAGAAGAGGATCTGGATATTTTCTCTGATAGTGAGACATCTCCCAGTAACTCTACCTATCTTTCCTAGTCCATTAAGCTCTTAAAACAACTGGGGAAGGGGGATATTAAATGGTTTCCTTCCAAATATCCCATCTGGTCAGGGCTGGAATTTAGCTTGTACCACATATCTCCATTTTAAATCTGTGTTGCAGTTTTTTGCTGGGTATTAACCACTTCAAATACAGGAGTGTCAAAGTATAAAGTAACTTACTGTTTTTAATACTTTGCACTGAGCAATAAATTCTCGTAGTAAGTGGATACCATACTTGTGCAAAAAAGGGGTTTCCATGGACAGCAATAAAATTTACAGGCTCTTTCCAAGAGCGTTTAATAGCTAGCACCTGTGGCAAAAGGTTGGCTGTGGAGCTGAAGAGTTTTCAGATATTTGAAATGATGGAAATGTAATTTTCCTAGTAGTTTTCTTTAATGTCAGCAAGTAGCATTTGACAGAAAAACAAAGATCCTATGACCTTAAATATAAACATTACTAACTCAATTAGAAACACTAAAACTACCTGTAATTCTTTGTTTGAAAAAAAACCAGGAGCTGATTCTACCTTTAACACAGCACTGGTGACATACTTAGTTGATTATCCCTTCCTTTGTTTTCAGACATTCTGTAGAGAGACTATAAAGTCAAGGCTGCGGTAGGAAAAGAGGCAGAAAAATAACTGGAAAAAGACAAGACCAGAATATGAACTCTTTTTTTCTTCAATATTTCAGTAATTAAAGGATCAGAGTTTTAGCTCACTGATACGTAATTGAGAGCAAAAGTTTTGTACACAGTTACATAAAATATTTTGGGTTGGAAGGGATCTTGGGATGTCATCTGGTCTAACCACTCCACTCAAAACAAAGGAAACTTGGAAGTTTGAGTTGAAATGAAGTAAGGTTATTAATGGTTTTGACCTACTGAGATGTTAAATTCTCTGCGGATGGGGGTTGCACAGCCTTTCTAAGAGACCCATTTCACTGTTGCATAGGAATTTCCCTTGTTGCAACTTCTTACTGTTGTTTTCTTGTCCTTTCACTGTGTATTTCCAAGAAGACTGTCTCCAGCTTCTCTGTAACTACTAGGTAGCTGAAGTCAGATGACTTCTTCAAACTGAACAAGCCCATCCTTTTTGGACTTTCCTGATACATTATACAGTCCATTCCCCAAGCCACTTAGTGATCCTTGCTGGACTCATTCCGTTTTGTCAATGTATTTCTCAGGCTGGGAAGCCTCAAACTTGGCATTGTATCAGATGTGGTTTCCTAAGTGCTGAATAATAGGGAAGAAGCACTTGCTTCCCCCACCTAGGTTCATACTTATAAATGGAGCCAGCATGCAGCTAACCTTCATTGCCAGAAAGGCATGCTGCTGCTGATCTCCAGGAAAATACTGAAGGATGAATGAAAATTTTATTTAGCATTATCCACTGTATTGTTAAGATCTGGAATTTAGGCCTACTCACTATTCAAGGAGAAAGTTTCCAGCTGATGAGGTACATACAAGGAAGACAACATTAGTGTTGGCAGCTCATTGCAGGGGTGGCAACAAAGAAAATTCAAATTTCATAATTCTAGATCATTTTCTTTCAATAAAAGGAAACATAATCACTCACCTAGACCAAGAGGGCTATTTGTGAAACAATGAGCTCCCTCAACTCCCATAAACTGAAAATCTTAGACAATTAAAACATTAGAAGGCAGGCCTTTGATCACCAAAATTGAGTTTTAAGTCTCAGATGGAATTATTTCCCTTCCTCATTCTGTTTTTTGAGCCTCTTACAGGGCTCTTTCCCATTCTTTCTTCGAAGTCCTTGTTTGGGAAGACATGATACTTAGAAATGTTTCTGGGTTTAGAACTTATAATGAAAGATCTAGTTTGGAGGGTGTTTTTTTTGCAAGCAAGACAAGTAATTCAAACTTAATTTTAATAACAGATTTCTTTCTATCTGCTTACAGTGCATTCACAGACTTTAATCACAAGTGTGCCAAGCTTATAGTGGAATAGTTAGATGAAGCACACAGAGAGAATAGTGGAATCAATGTGCTTAATCTGTTCTTAATCCTCTCTTTTACATAGGAGACCTGCATATGCTGCTATTCCACACACAGACACAAGGGCTGATGTGGTTTATGCAGGGCTAGTTATGCAGCCAAGACTTCATTCAAAGATACTCAGAAGCCAACAGAAGGGAAGGGAGAGAGGCAAAAGAGAAATTGCAGTTATTACTTTTACTGGCTGAAACTTGAGAGACCTCGATTAACAACATAATATATGGATCCATCAAGAAAGAAAAAAAGATGTCATAATTTTATGTTTCTGCTAAAAATATGCCTGAGACTTTCCCATCCACAACAGTTACAGATTTAAATCAATGCCAGTAATAGAGTGGCAGTTACCAGCAGGTGACCAAATGTACCTGACCTTAAATTCTTTGCACGTGCTACACCATCTCTCTCAACCAGCTCTCCTCTTCTGCCAGGCACACAGGAAAGTGTCTAGCTACTCTCAAGCGTATGTTATTCATGACTAGGGAGTGCAGTGAGGTCACCCAGAAAGACATGAATTTCTCCACTCAATGCAGGCAGGATTAGAGAAAGACAAAGATTCTCTTCCTTTTCCTCCTTTTTCCCCAACTTTTCCTTGCAATACCCACTTTTTTCCCCTCTATTCCACATGGGCAATATACTTACAGCCATAACTGTAAGCATTTGTGATCCACTGTGGCCCAGATATTTTTGGAAAACTGGTTTGATGCTGAAAGATAGTAAAGCCACTGAATGGGTTTACTAAATGTTGTAAAGTTGAAGTGGCCCTGTCTATCCCTTCAAAAAGTAGGAATACCCTTATCTTGAATCCAATTCAATTCCCATCAGAAAATGGATGACTTGGAGTAGTGGTAGAAAACAATGGCACCATTTATAGTGGTGCTACTGTGATGTGGGAGGATAAACAGGGTAACAGAAAAGAGATAGTAAAATCAGAAGCATTTTAAGATGTCAAGCTCTACAAAAGAATGGACATTTTATAGCTTTGTCATGATCATAAGAGACAGTAGATTGTGTCCTTTGCATAGTAGTTTCAGATTTCATTGCCAAAAAAGAAAGTAAAAAACAGGCCTAGAAGGACAAATTGAAAATCTATCAAATCATTATAAGGCTTCACAATATGCCATTACAAAATCAGTAGTTGTGTAAGAAACAGTCATAAAATAACCACGCTGCATCTTCATAACATTTCTAGCAGTTTGTGTCAGTATTCATTTAAGAAGTCTTTAATCTGTATATCTATATGTGCAGAAAAAGTATGAAATACTAGTATTTTATATTAAAATTATCTGCTATGCCTGTCCTGTTAAATATTTTTCCTCAGACATTTGCTTGCTTTTAAATATCAGAAGACAAGAAGCCAATGATAAAAAATTCTGCTTGGAAAGAAAAGGCTTCTGTGTAACAGAACCTTGCAAGTCAGCATCTGACACCAAATACTGTATTTCTGGTGACAGTTTTGTTTCAAAAAAGAAACAAACTTACACAGTCCATTAGACAAGACAACAATTTTGAAATGGATGCCCAATGAGGCTTGTTTTGCAGAAAAGACAGATTCTTTCACCCACCCTTGGAGATTCATGGCCCTTCTACCAGATTAAATCATAAGGATGCAATTGATTAATCACTTCTGAAAAACTTAGCTTTTATTTTCAGTCAGTGCTTGGTGGTGACAAGATCCTGTATTGCAGGCTCTCTTTCAGAGTAAATTATGGGCAAAGTTATAAACCAGCAAAAATAGAGGTTCATAATGGAGATTATGACAGACCTTTAATTATACAGGGCATGAAGAACAATGCTGTAATAAAATTAGCATTAAAAAAAAATGTCATCTAGTCTACAGTTTAAGGCTTTTCCACTATAGATGAACCAGTATGCTTGGTTATAGTTGCTCAGAAGTTATTCATCTTAGAGCCTTTAAAGCTGAAAGTGCTTTGCACCTTAAATTCATATATACATTTTGATTAATCATGATTTGGAATGCCTCTGTTAGAGCTATAGGTAATGAATATTACTGATTCACTGTTATGCAAGATGTTGTTGTAAGTCTGGTGCAGCCAAAGCTTAAAAGTGAATAGACAATCCAGTGTAAGCATCTGACTTTAGCAGGCTAAGCTTCAGTGCAAGCATCAAACTGCTGTATAGGGTCAGTACTAAGATATAAGCTACTGCTTAACATATGCTGAATGTTAAATGTATCTCCAGTTGTGCGTTTTAACACCCAGGTCATCTAGAGATGTAGCACACACCTCTAGTACAAGTAAACAGGCATGTAATAGAAATTATACAGCAGTATTTTATAGTAAAACCAATATATAGAGAGTGTGCGTATAATATTCAAGTGCCAGCATTGCAAGCATTTGTCTCCTTTGCTAAATGACTCTGGACCCAATCCCAAAGTGCTTCACTGAGCAGTATCATGCTCCTTAACTAGTCCAACTGAGATCAGTGTGATCATGTGTGACAGAGAAATTTAATTGGATAAAAACATCAGGAAGCACGATTTGGACACTGCAGTTGAATTAACTAATTCTCTGTAATTCATACACTTAATTCACAAGTTACCTTGTCCAAAGCAGTGTGATTAAGACATTAATTTGGGTCATTTTGAAAGATGTGAGTCAGTTATGAAGTGTAGTTTTTTTTTCTAGATGGGTGAGGTCTTAGCTTCTGTCCTCAGCATAGAGGCACAACTGACATTACTAGAATTATTTCATGGGAATAAATGTTTCTTAATCTGTCATCAACTGACTGTTAAAATAGCTTGAGTTACAGATCTCATGTGGGAGAGAATTTCTGATCACTGGGCATATTTGGGCATTTTTAGGTCTCTAGTATTAGTTTGAAAGACACTAGATAAGTGCCAGATGATCTACTTTGGTCATTTGGATTGTGGCATTTCATAAACTCTGAGGTGGTAAATTCTCTCCATTACGAAATTCAAAAATTATGTAAATAACACTTGCCATTCCGCTCTGCTGAACGTTAGTCAGAGGCGTGTAATTTTCATTTACACATCATTTCCTCTGCATATGTACATATATTGCAGGATAATGGACAACAATATTTGAGCACTTAATCAAAGACAATGATAAAACTTCTCCCATTTCAACACAGTCTAAGTGCATAACAAATTATTGCACACTGTGAATTTAGTGGGGTGAAGGAGGTTCCAGAGGCTCAGATGTATGGTTTCAGTCTGCTTTCTTGAAAAGTGGACTTTTTCACAACAGAGAATGAGTTACAATATGTTTCCATTTTATTCATTGCTTCGAGTATGTCATACCCTAAGCAGGTATTCAAAACAGCTGGAGGCCACATAGTCAGAGCCTCAGGCTTCTGAAGTGAAAAAATGAAGAAGTTCTATAATAGACATGACAGGGAGAATAAAGAAATGAAGTGACCTGCTTTTGAGGGGGTTCTAACACTAATAGTAATTTTATTGTTTGATAAGAATCAAGAATCTCTGTGTGTCTGCAAAAGAAGGTTTCAGTAAAATGTCTTTGCAGGCTTTTGAGGAGGAGTCGATTTCTGGAGATACTGTTTACCAACAGTTCCTTCTTCAGATACTTGTGACTCTTTTCAACTTCCTTTGGTCCCAAATAATTTGGTTTTGCTTACCAGTTAAAAGCCACGCTACTAAAAGCAAATAATTTCTGTGTACCTTTTGAAATGATTTTCAAAACATCAAGCACTATCATGGATGCCTGAAGACAGAATGGTATCTTCATAAAAATGCAAATTATTGCAATTATAATAGTAATCACAATCACAGAGAGCAAGGGATTTCTCAGCTATAGCTCTTGTGTGGCACTCAACATTCCCACAGAGGCACAGCAGAGGAAAACAGAGCAATTGAAATAATACTGATGTCCATTCCCTTTATAATTTGTAATGGCATGAATGTTATTTAAAGACTTTGAAATAAATGTACCTCATACAAAAGTAGCATAAATTGTAAGTGGAGCTTTTGATTAGAGCTCATATAAATACACTGCCATATATTTTTCATCAAAATTTTACAAGTCAGACACAGATATTGAAAATTATCACAACCACTATGTGACAGCCAGGTCCCAACCTTGATTACTTATGCAAGAGCAGGTGAAGATCCTGGTATTTCAAGACATAGAAAATAACAGGCCAAATATCACTTCATTTCTACTCTTTGAACAAGCAATCCAAAGCAGTTATAATTAATGCTAATAAGAATTAGTAACCTCACTCTAACTGCCCTGTATCATCTCTGAATCTCAAAGCACTCCATGTGAGAAATCCCAGTTTTACAAATAAGGTAGAGATATAGTGAAGGTGCAGATATTTTACTGACATTTAGTATGCTAGAACAGTGTCTCATAGTTTCCACATACTGTTTTGATGCACTATTTCTCCTCATCTGACTTTCCTTCAAGTTTAGACCCAATCCAGATTGTAGATCATGCTGCAGCAGCATCAAGATGACTGTAATTTATATGTCCGCCTTAATTTAGAGAGGGCACATCACCTCTAAGAAGCCTAATCCAGGGTCTAAGAATTGTTCAGGTTAATTCTTAGACCCTGGCCCCAAAGAGCTGGCCTTATCTTGTGCATACCCTCCTCCAACATATATGTGCCTTTCAGAAAAAACAGAAAAATAGCTGTATTTTGGAAGACATAACAGGGACAAAGAAAAAGAAAGTAATCCTGCACAGTGTCCCCAAAAACTTATTTTTCTTTTTTCTTTTTTTATTATTTTTAAATTTTTTATTTCTATAAAGCATTTCTAAATTTTGGTATTTGGGTCATAAATAGGGATATTTTATTGCTACATCTTTGCCAGACTTATCTGTTTGTTCTCAACTCTCGCACTCTTTTCTACAGATCTCTACAATAAGTATTTCCTTTAGTCCTTTTATTTGGACTCTTACAGTCACTTGTACTCAGAAAGATGTTTAACAGTGAGAGACTGGGAAAAACTATTCACACAGATTTCATTATATTCTCAGTGACTCTGAGGTCTCTTAATCAGCTTCCATGTTCCATCACTTCTTTGTTCTATGGAACATCACATACATTGTTGAGGTATATGAATTACTGGATGATTAGAAACATAAAAGGTAACATTTGTAGTATTTGTCTTTTTTTTCCCCTTTGGACTAGAATTTCAATCATAAAATATTGTCTGATATATGGAAAATATGGAGGAACCAAATGGTGGAAAACAGTGGACTGTAGACGGTAAGGTAAGGGCAATTCCTTTCTGAAAGTTAAACAATCTGTTGGAAAATAAGCTGATAATTTTGAACTGTTGTTTTGGGGGGTTTAAACCATTTTCTTTTAAATAGAATGGCATAAGGGTTTAATTATCATTTCCCTAGTTTCAAAACAATTTCCCTCTAAAAGAGGACTGAGGACGTTCATGAAGAGTCTGCAAATGACAAAGATGGAAAGGAATAAGTTGCAGCTATGACTAGACACAACATTCACAGATATCTTGTACTTACACTCATCACTGTATTTGTATGATTTATAGGCATCTATATGAATATGCATGAAGTTATAGTTTAAAATATAACTAAAGAAAAATATTTTCTTCCTTTTCTTCCAATAGAAATTTCAGTAAACTGCATCTTTTTATAACTGGCTGAGTTTTGTATTTCTTTTCATTTGCTGTGAACAGCTTTAAAAATTAGTAAAGATACTGCAGATTTTTGGCAGAATTTTTCATACACAATTCTTAGACCAGGTCTACAGTAGGAAACATAAGCCTGTTTCCAGAAGACTGAATGATTCTGGGCAATATGGCCAAGAGCCTAATCTCTGACAGTCTTTCTTTAGCCTGAAATCTTCATATAAAAAAAAAAAAAAAAAAAAAAAAAAAGGCAAAACTTGAAGAAAAAGACACAGCCTTTGAAAAACTATAGCAAAATAAGACTGTTGTAGGATACCCAGTCCTGCCTGCAGTTTGAGATGTATGTCCATTTTCTCCTCCCATAGGTATAAGCATCTTATACCCTGGGGCTGCACGCATGGTGTGAAATTCACAATCTGCTTTCAACAAGAAATGCAGTCTGTTCACTACCATGTAGAAGACACTAAAATCCCTTCAAGAAGTTTTCCTCTCACTATTATTGCTTACATTCCCCATTTCATGACAGCATATCTTTTCCTTTCCTGACATCCATTTTATTTATCTATGAAAAGATTTGTTTTACAAAGACCGGACACAGCATCTGTGCAGTACTTCACGCAGTGTATACAGGATGTGTACATAAACTGTGAGACCTAGCTACTTCTTTTGTTACTACATGTTACAATTTATATTAGGCTTATACATAGGGGCGTTAAATATGTTCAATCATAGAGGTGTTCAATATGTTCAAAGGAAAATTCTTAGGGATAAGGATAGAATAAATGTCAGGTATCGAATGAAATTGAGAAAAAGAAAGGGGAAAGAATATAAGGGAGAAGATCTTTGCAGTGATCTTTTGAGATTTAAAAAGGGTACCTTAGAATATAAGAAAGGATGCATAACATATGGATATACATTATCTAGAATTTTTTAAAACCTAACTTAGCAAAAATAATCAAAAATATAGTACTCTCAGGTGTTCTATAAAGATAACACTGAAAACTTACACTTTTTGAGTCATACCTGTGATCAAATTAATTTCTTATGTATGTAATAAGGAAAAATAAAGACCTCTTATGTAAACTAATCTGTTTGAGCTACTTTAAAACACCATTCTTCCTTATATAAAAACAATACTTTAATACTGAGAGATTGTAATGAGACAGTGCATAATCTTTTCTCCCCCAAAATGTTGAAGATACTATTTTTAGCTGAGTATTTCAACAACAAAGACCCCTTGTAAGGATTGCACCAGTGGAGTCCCACTGAAGAACACTTTCTCTGGTGATGAACACATTCACGCATGTATCACAGACAAGTCAGCTGAAGAATAAATATACCAAGGTCATGCTAATGTACCCTGATAGCTCAACACCTATCAAGCTACGGCAGCTGGTAACACAGAGTGAACCTTCACTGCAGGAATAAGTGCTTCTGTCGTGGACACTGGAATTCCACTGGCAGTGTATGTTCAGACCAGCTGGCAGCATCAAATGGCCAAAACTCCCAGGCAGAATTTAAGACAAAACAGGGCTAAGATCCTTCTTAACCTTAAGACTTCATAGATGGGAATGTCATTATTCAGTTACAAAGGCAGTGGTGCCACAGGTATAAGATCCTAAACATTCTCCTCACGTGTTATCGTGTTTTAAATTCTACTAACATTCACAGATACATATTTACTTTTATTAGGAAAAATTAGCTCTGAGAAACATAGTGGCAGTCTGAAGTACCAGGTACATTTTATAGCATTAAGTAACTTGCAAATTTTCAGACACACTGTTGTGCTTTTCTCCTCAGGGTTATTATCCTGGAATAATGGAACAGCCTCTTGCCTTAAACCCTGGAAAGTCCTACATGACAAAAGTTTTACATTTCAATTACGAGCTTCACTTACCGTAGGAAGTAAACATTTGAATATCAAATTTCTGTGGTGTGTTTCCAAGTGTTGTTGAAACTTCTTGAAAATCACTATGTTAGAAATATTTACTGTCTAAAATAAGAATATCAAGACTAAATGACAATTCTTTTTCTTCTTTTCTTTTTTAGATTTTGAGGGAAACCACACGATGCCTATATGACTTTGTGGCATGCTTCAGGGAAGTTCAATTATCAGATGTTTTCGCTGCTTGATTATCTGCCTATCAGTGCAATATGTTGTTACGGTACCTTGCTGCATATCATGGTAGTTTGCTGTCAGACTGGCCTAAAGAATGCCAAAGCATTTTCTTTCATGGTACATTACAATAATTTTGCTCTTTAAATGATCAGACCATTTAGAATCTTCATAATACCTTTTTTACTTAAAAGTAAGGAAATAGACTATGTAAATAAAGCATCAGCATTTCCAATGAAATGGTTTACGACTATTTTCAAGACTGTATTTGAGGAAGTGATTTGGGTGTGGGCAAGGAGAGAATTCAAACAGCCAATTTTTATTTCATACTGGAAAACTAACCCCATAAAGTCAGAGATTAGAGCAGATAAAATTGCTAAATTTCCAGATGCTAAGGATTCTTCAGGATTGACCTAGCTCCCTGTAAAGAAGAAAACATGAGATCTTTAAGACTTCAGGTATTTATCCAAGTAATTTTGGAGGGTCAGAGTCAAGAAGATCAAAGACTCCAGCAATACCTCAGGAATCTCTGATTGATAACGGTGAGTTTCATCTCTGTTTCCAACAGAGATCTTTACTAACAGGTCTTGTTTCTTTGTTAAGAAATACCTCATGAATTGTTATAGTTTCAGCTACATTTAGCATGGAGGGAACCACTGTTATGGCACAAGGAATGAAATATGCAGTGACAAGCTGTGAAGGAACTATGTTGGGGAAAATAAATAAAGGTTCCATTTATGGAAAATTTCAGGATATTAAGGATGAGGGTTGCACTCATGATGGGTGAAAGATCAGTTGATTTAAGTATTTATGAATAATCTGTGATACATTAGTTAATTTTTCATTGCACTCCTCTTAAAAACTCCATTTCATTCAGTGCTGCACTTATGAAGGTGTCTTTCATAATGTTTTTAAACTAAGGTGATCATCCAGCCCATCTCTTTTCATCCAAGTATTCTGATTCAGTGGATTTTAATTAAAACATTGTACTAATCCATACTACTATGACATTAAACTGAATTTCACACCATATATATCATAGATGCTTAGAGATACTTTTAACGTAAAATTCTCTAAAGTAGATAAGACCCATATCCTTCAATAGAGAGAAGGGCTTATATTTAAAGCATCTTACCTATGGCTAATGAAAGCATTAATTGAAATGTAACCTTTTGTTTTGTAGAACCTATCCATCAACTACTCTTCAGATCAGTGCAGACTAGGTTGTGCCAACTAACCAACTAGCATGTGCACAGCAATTGGCCAGCACAGTCTATAAGGGCTGAGTTCATCCTGTCCATGAAAGTATCTCTTCTTTATTCATACCACTAAATAATGTTCTTCAAGACTTGTGGGAAGAGCTGTCCTTAAGATTTTATCCCATGACAAATTTTGTTGAACCTGATCAACAGATATAAGTAAATGAAAGAAGATGGAAGAAATGGGAAGAAGAATCTATGATTTCTACCTGCCTCACCTGTCTGCATCTCAGAGTCTTTAATGACAAAGGCATTAAATAGGTAAACAAATTTATAACCAAATACAGAGATGTACATAAAACTTTCATTTCAACAGGCTTTGAATCAGACTCTTACAGATGGGTTAATATGCATTTATCCCCAGAAGTGGCCAGTTTTACAGAATAAAGACCTCATTCTTTCAAAGGGAGCATTTCACCAACATTTGAGAGACATGCAAATAGGGAAACTGAAACCCAGCAACTCAACATCTATTAATAATGCTACAGGACTATTTATATCTAACCTGAATGATGCACTTCTACAGCAATTTGTTTGAATTCAACTTACTGAGCATAACATGTTTCTGTGCCACTTTAGAGTATTAAATGATACTGGCCATAGAAAATGAAAATTGTTTTTCAAGCCTAGTGGGAATTAGTAGGAGTTGTAGCCTTGAAAAAGACTACACAGGAGTTAGATTTTATGGTCATTATTCCCAGAAGAAGATACTGTTATTAAATTTTGCAGATCAGAACTAGCAATTTGCTACAGATCAGATTATGATCATTTATGTGTTTATGGGCTGACAACTCAGAAGTTACACACTTCATTAAGCTACAGGGCAAGATTCTCACAGGATGAAATAATGCAGGTACATTAGTTTGCATCCATTTAGGTCAATTAGGTATCTGAGTCCCTAGCATCTCACTTCAGATCAGCGATTTAAAATGCCACTATTCAAACACCTTCAGACACAGAGCTAATTTCAAACACTCCAGCAAACCTTGAAGACTTTAGTGCAACTGTTGGCTGCCTTTAAAAGTTGCAAAGTACCAAAAGTCATAAACATAAATTTCATAGTTTTGAAATTTTTCCACTAAAATCTGCTGCATAATTATTATTGTTTTTTTCCAAGGTACAATTTTATATGTGGTGCTCAGATCGTTCTGGACTCTAGATTTGCTTTCAGAAGACTCTAGTTAAGTCATGACCTTCAACTATTCTTCCTATTTGACTGGATTTTGGAAAGGTTTTTTTTTGCGGTGAGATGGAGATTTTTTTTTCCCCAGATGGTTTAGAAACTAGATCTTAGGACTACTGGTGTGAAGAACTTGTAAGATGATTTCTTAGGATGAGCTGTCTAAAGCCCCTCTATGATACAAACTGCTGAAGAAGTAAGTTAAACTCTCACAGTCAAACATTCACTTGGGATTCTTGTGAGGCCTGTGAAACCATCAAAGAATAACTCCAAGAATACTGTGAAATCCTTTGCACCATGTAAAAAAATAAAAGTTTCTTTTGTGAGCCAGAACAATGACTGAAATATTTCAACTTGGTTTCACAGACCTTTGCACTAACCTTTTAGCAGACCAGAGCCAAAAAATACCATAAAACATGTGCATACCATTAAAATTTTTCCTACGTTGCCCACTGTAGAAGAGGATCAGGTTCGAGATCATCTTAGGAACCTGAATGTTCAAGACTCCATGGGATGAAATCCATTCACAGGTCCTGAAGGAGCTGGCAAATGAAGTTGCTAAGCCACTGTCTATCATATATGAAAAATCATGGCAGTCAGGTGAAGTTCCCAATGACTGGAAAAAGGGAAATATAACCCCCATTTTCAAGAAGAGGAAAATGGAAGACCCAGGGAGCTACAGACCAGTCAGTCTCACCTCTGTGCCTGGCAGGATCACGGAGCAGATTTTCCTGGAAACATGAGGAACATGAAAAACAAGGTGGTTGGTGACACCAACATGGCTTCACTGAGGGCAAATCCTGCCTCACCAATTTGATGGCCTTCTATGATGGGTCTACAGAACTGATGGATAGGAGCAAAGCAGCTGACATTGTCTACCTGGACTTGGACAGGCTGAGAAATTTGGGGCCATTCAGCCTGGAGAAGAGAAGGCTGCATGGAGACCTCATAGCAGCCTTCCAGTATTTGAAGGCAGCCTACAAGGGTACCAGAGAGGGACTCTTCATCAGCGACTGTAGTGACAGGACAAGGAGTTATGGGTTTAAACTTAAGCAGGAAGAATTCTCTACTGTGAGGGTGGTGAGGCACTGGAACAGGTTGCCCAAAGAAGTGGTAAATGCTTCATCCCTGGCAGTGTTAAATATGGCCAGTGTAAAGGCCAGTTTGGACAGAATATTGGGCAGTGTTAAATATGGCTAAAACTAGACCCAGATGAGAAATACTTTTTCTCCAAACCTGACATTTCAACAAGCCATTCCACTCTGACTCAAGACAAATGCAGAACCCCATGAAAATTCCTGTGAAATGTCAAGATGTGGAAAAGACATTCCCATTTAGTCCACGGGTCGATGTTATAATGTCTGAAATGGGAGAATGACACAGCAGTGGCATGAAGCCAAATTTTCACATTCTAGATGGATTTTATTGTGCTGTTAGTCACTCTTAAGAACATGGTACAGTCAAAATCTTTCGAAAGGTGAATAGGGCATTTGCAAAGACTTTTGAGACTATCATAGTTAAGAGAAAGGTCATGGAGAGGAGAAGTACAACTTCAAAAGCATTTCAAAGCAACTCACCATTCTTTCTAAAGTGACTCTGTGAAGATTAGCTTTTGTGAGTACCCTTTGTCACACAAACATGTTTTTTTTCCTAAGACCTGATAGAAAAATGGATATTTGTTACAAGAAAAATAGCTGTCAAAAATTACTGCCAGCTCCAGCTGAGACAGCTCTCTAGGATACAGAGACATTTGTTTTGAGTGAGAAAATCATCTAAAACTTGTCACAAGAGCTGCTTACCTTGTGATATTATGTGATAAAACTCTTTACACCCTATTTTGCAAGTTGAAAGCAATCTCTTTTTACTATTAGATGATGTAAAAGTTTGTATTGCCAACTGAACTGTGTGCAGTTTGAGAAAGGAGAAAAATGATTTATGTACAGCTTATAGCCAACACTGACACTCTGAACACGCGTTAAGTGTGGCCAAAACAGAGCTTCACATGTTCAGAAACATGACATTTTAATGAAGATTTTGATGCTCCAGGACATGAGCCTTCCAGGTGTCACTCTAATGACGATGCAGACAAAAAAGGACTTTCTGAAAGATTCTGTATTTCATTCATCCTGTGTTTCAGGCTGTCAGCTAATCCCACCCCTGACCTCAGATATGGCTGCAAAGCTGTCCACAGCAGGTACTATACTGAAGGCTACCGAACCAGTGCCACAGCTGGCAATTGGCAGATATTAAGTGACAGATGGCCATGGTCTCAACCAGCTACATAGAGCGCTTTGAAAGAGAGGCATATGTCAGTTTACCGTGCTTTGAATGTTGTTAAACACAAAAGACTCTGGGGTTCAGATACCTTTCCTAGAACATACATTTAAATCACACCTTTAACAAACAAGAATTGTGAAAACAAGTAAGGCTCAGCAGGTCAAAAAATTCAATAGCATCCCAGATCAAAGCAATGCAGAAACCCAAACATCTGTGAATATAAAATGAAAGGGATGAGGCCAGACTATTTAGAGCAGAAAACTTTGAAAGAAACGGTAATATAAGAAGGTGATAAACAAATAAGATTTACTTAATTTCTAACATACCTCCAAAGCACATTTAGGCATTTCATTTATCGACCAACTATATTGCCTAGTGCTACTTTTCCCAGAAATTTCTTAAATACTATCTTCACATTTGAATAAAGCACTGTGGGGAAAGCTCTCTATTTCTAAACTTAGAATCTTCTGCCTTCATACTGAAAAATCTTTAACAAGAGGCACTCCTGGGCAGAGGACATGGGG